TGCTACGCTTGCCTCCTGGAAAGGCAAATGCAGTAAATATTGTCTTTTTTGGTTTCGCGTATTGTAACATGGCTTGCAATCCGCGTTAGGGTGCGTTTTTGTCACATTACCATTCTTCAGTAAGTTTATCTGTGTCCCGAGAAACCCAGTGAGCAGTAGCATCTCAGAGAATCTAGCATTTAGCATTATACCGAAGATTTAGAGCTTACGCAAGAGGGATTCCGTCAAATAGAAAACACATAATGTACAGCCAGCCACCGACCTCATGGAATGTTAACCAAAATTCTGAAACGTGTTTTCAATTAAGAATGATTAATTTAATGATGTTGTGATATTAACTACCCGGCAAACTAATGCCAAAATATTTTAGACACGCCTCTATAAATTAAAAGATACTTTATAGAAAACAGAGGCAAAATATTCTTTCCTGTACTTATTTGGTAGCCAATTACATCTTTACAAAATGTTAAAGTGATGGGAAGCGCATATTTATGCTTTTAAATGTTTTCGATTTCCGAATATTCTTGAGCCCAATCTGGTGTATTTATGTTGAGGGTCTTCAGTCTTTCAGGCTATATTCTTTAGGCGCAAGGAAAATCATACGTTCCTCTCTACCATCCACACAAAAGTACATAGCTTTCATAAAAATCTGTAATGGAAGTAGACCATGTTGTATGCTTAACCAGGGGCATTAACAAATATACAAATAGGATCCTTGGTGAAAAGACCGTGTGTGATCTTGGGGAATGTCATAATAAGAAACTTTTTAAAACCAAGAGATAGCCTTTGTTCGAGTGTGAAATTTGGAGAATATGTAAGTGGCTATTAAATGGGTAGAAGAAGCGCTGTTGTGAGCATTTTTTCATAAAATATATTTGCATTTATGAGGTCATTTAAAATCAATAAAGAATAGGCATCCTAGTTAAGTAGTCATCGTAGTTCTGCAGAGGGCCAAAAAGACGTGCATTAAAAAGCCGACCTCCTGACCTGTCTGAAATATTATGTGATTATGTCGTACGATGATCGATATTAGTACCTATTTAGCCCGTGCCTTGATGGAGTAAGGACGACAGAAGCTGGTGCTCCGCAAAGTTTTTTGTGGTTACTGTGTGAATATTAAGCTTCTGAAACTTTAGCTACCTCAGAATCCTCTGAGTCTGTGTAAATTTGGTCAAACTGTCCGCATTGGGGACCACTAAATTGAGTACGGACAGCGTGTTCCGTAATCGCGTTGGTCGGTTCTCATGTACCGTGGTATCATAACCTCCAAATCCTTCCCCTGTCGTCGGTGTTCACCAGGCACCCTCCATCTCTGCGGTCGTCTACCAAAAGAAAAGTACTTAAGGGCGTTCCTGTTCACGCCTCTACATCCCCAGCTTTTGAGTGTCAAGTGCAAGCGCTTGTAGTTACGGTACGGTTTTCTAACACCACGCCCTTTAAGGTCACCGCTTGCTGCTGGCCCTAGATGTTTGTGGGGGCAGTCCATTTGCACTATGCGATAGCACTTTTCCCACAGCCGTTTACAATCATGGGCCGACTCCTGTCTCGTAGGTCGCTCTGCTTTAGGGTGCGCTTATCTGAAAATCGTTGCTCTCAGTAAGTAACAGTTGTTTCGTTCTGGTGTTTGTTGGCGTTACTGTTTTTGAAATCCATAGACTCTTTTGCTTAGTAGGTTAGTTTGTGTACACATCTGTTATTTAGGCACCCTTTTTTATCGGAAAAGGGTGGTCGATTTCTTATCCTTTCCTTACACCTAGTTAGATTTTACTTGCGAATCACGCTTTCTCAAGTTCGCCCGTTATCGTGGGCGAAAACACTAATGCTAATCATCTGGACCACGCCAACTCGGTAAACGCATGACTTGTGGCTGTAGTTTCAGTAATCAGGTGTCTCAGCAAAGTTTCCATTGATTAGTGGAGGTTGTCTGTGAAGTGCAAAAGAGCACTATTCTGCCGCTGAAGTCGGTCCGTCTAGGTCCAGCAACTGCATTTGTTACCAGAAACAATAAATTTGGACTACCGGTTGTGATCAAGAAAGTTCCTTTAAAGTCTACTTGCCTTGCAACAAAATGTCGGTTTGGGTGTATCGATCAGAACTATCTGAATTTGTGTGGTTTACTCAACAAAAGCCAAAAATCCTCAATTTTTTGAGGTAGGTAAATGTCTGAAACCGCCGGTAACTTTTTTCGGTCGGCCAGGCCCCCACCTCAAATTTACCTTCTCACTTGTGTCCGGGTCGGTTTTTCACGATTATTTCCATGCTTCTCCAAGCTGTCCCTTCCTAGCCTGTCAGTTACTCTGTTGAATGTGTCGGTCTCGGCCTTTTTGTCCCACCGTTTAGTTTCCGCGTCTGTTCTTTTAATTTGTAGATGCAAAGAGCTTTGGAAGTTTTGGAAAGGCGGGTGGAGAATCTGACTTCAGCAAAGTGTCAGACCCGGTAATTAATATCCTGCCACGACATTTCTGCCTACGTCGTGTCCGGAGCCATGTCACCTCCAAGCTCTTTAGGTTTTCCTCAATGCTTTTAACTGACTTCTGTATTGGCTGTTTCCATCTTTATCCCCCTCTCTCTCGAAGACGGCGTCTTTTCTCGTCCCAAAACCCCCTT